AAGTATGTATTCACTCAGAAGGAGTTGAATATGAGGCAGAGGAGATGGATGGAGTTGATCAAGGACTATGACTTGATCATCGACTACCATCCAGGAAAGGCCAACGTCGTGGCCGACGCACTGAGCAGAAAGAGTACGTCGGGGACGCTACTCACATGTCTACAGGCATTGAGGGCACACGTGGAAGTATCCACGAGCGGGGCGCTCATTGCTAGGTTCGAGGTTAGGCCTACTTTGCTGGGTGAGATCAGTAGATGTCAGGCCATTGATGAGGAATGTCAGAAGATCCGCGAACGGATCCTTGAGGGGCCCGTTGAGAATTTTCGGGTACGTGATGACGGTCTTTTATTGTTTAAAGATCGTGTGTGCATACCAAGGAATGAGGAACTCCAGAAGTCTATACTTGAGGAGGCTCATTCTTCAGCTTATGCTATGCACCCGGGAGGTACTAAAATGTACCGAGATTTGAAGGAGAGTTACTGGTGGTCAGGTATGAAGAGAGACATCGCAGAATATGTGAGTCGGTGCCTTACTTGCCAGCAAGTTAAGGCAGAGCATCAGCACCCGGCAGGGCTTTTGCAACCACTTACCATCCCGGAGTGGAAGTGGGAGCACGTGACCATGGACTTCGTGGTGGGGCTACCACGAACAGTGAACAACTATGACGCAGTATGGGTAGTGGTTGATAGGCTCACCAAGAGTGCACACTTTTGCCTATCAACATTACTTATCCTCTTGAAAGATTGGCCAAGCTCTACACGGAGGAAATTGTGAGATTACATGGAGTCCCGATATCCATTGTCTCGGATAGGGATCCACGATTCACATCCCGTTTTTGGCCAAAGTTTCAAGCATCGTTGGGTATTAAACTGAAGTTTAGCATAGCTTTTCACCCACAGACGGATGGACAGTCCGAGCGGGTGATACAGATTCTGGAAGACATGCTTAGGGCATGTGCTCTGGAGTTCCAAGGAAGTTGGGACAAGCATTTGGCTCTAGTGGAGTTTGCTTATAACAACAGTTATCAAGCAAGTATCGGCATGCCTCCATATGAGGCATTGTATGGGAGGAAATGCAGAACACCGTTGTGTTGGGACGAGGTTGGCGAGGCCAAACTCGACGATAACATGTAAGTATATTAGAAACCGTCAAGAGTTTATCTGTACAGCAAAAGAATATGAGCAAAAATGTAGGCTATCCAAGGATTGGATAACCCATCACCTACCAAAATAAGGGGGCCATAGCAGCCCCCCTATGCTACCTCACGGCCCATCATAATCAGACAAAGTGATGGGCAAAAAGTTGTCAGAGTACTACCAAATCACAAGGATAAATGCTATACAAAATTTTATAGACAAAAATTTCCTCCTCTTTAGGCAAAAATCCATCAAATCTAGCTGCATTCCTGACTCTCCAAATCCAGTAGACGGTGCAGGAGAAAGCAATCCTAGCAGCCTTGGCTAACACATTAGCTCCGCTCCTTTCCTTCTTGATCCATTTGACCGAGCTAGCTAGGGTCCCCATCATGCGTGGAATGCCAATCCATGCCTTCATCAGAGTCCAGACCTTACCTGAAAAAGAGCATTCAAAGTAGAGGTGTGGAGCCGTTTCCGGTCCACCCTTACACAATACACAAATATTATCCACATCTAATCTATGAAGATTATCACACGTGGCTAATCTATTACAGAATGCCAACCATGTAATAAAGGAAAACTTGGGAGGAATGTAATCTTTCCAAATAAATGGCATCCACACACGGGTGGCAGCCCTAGTCCTAAGTAAATCATAAACCTTGGAGGATACAAGCTTGCCATTAAATTGAAGAGCATTTAGGCCAAGTATAGCAGTCGGGATGTCCGGGAATTTGGAGAGTATTTCATCTTGGATTAATGCAATCTTTTTAAATAATTGTGAATCTCTTTTGTGTGGGACAAACTCCCACACACTCCTGCCCTTTAGATAAACCCCATGTACCCACTTGACCCAAAGAGTGTCCTTTTTAGTGTGTATATCCCAAAAAGTTTTTGAAAGTAAGGCCTTGTTCCAAACCTTCATATCATGTATACCCAGTCCGCCTTCTTCTTTCAGGATAGAACTGGTTGAGATCACCAAGGCCAAGGTGAGGATCATTCAGGATAGATTGAGGGCTGCTCAGGACCGACAGAAGAGTTATGCTGACAAACGGCGGAGACCGTTGGAGTTCGAGGTCGGTGATGAGGTTTTTCTAAGGATTTCTCCTTGGAAGGGCATCATTCGGTTTGTATCGAGGGGCAAGCTTAACCCCCGATACATCGGTCCATTTGAAATCCTTGAAAGGATAGGGGCCGTGGCTTACCGTCTCAAGTTGACACCAGAACTTGAGAAGATACATGACGTGTTTCATGTATCGATGCTAAAAAAGTACATACGGGACCCATCTCATATTCTTGAGAAACCGCCGGTAGAGATCCGTGAGGATTTGCAATATGCGGTAGAGCCGGTAAAGATAGTAGGTCAACAAGTGAAGAAACTTAGGAACAAGGAGATTCCTATGGTAAAGGTTCTGTGGAGAAGTGATTGGGTCGAAGAAGAAACGTGGGAGACCGAACTCTCAATGAGGGAGCAATACCCATTTCTTTTCGATTAGATATTTGGATTTCGGGGACGAAATCCCAAATAAGGGGGGGTGAACTTGTAACACCGTCCCCAATTATATTTACTTTTAAGTAAATAATGTATTAAACCTTATGGAATGGTCAATGAAATTACGAAGTTGTAATTTTTACTAATTCTTTCGTGTGAATAGTAAATTGCACGTGGGACCCACATCGGGAGCGGGGACCACCCAACATTCCCGAGACCACATATTTTATTCATCTTGGTCTAGATAATAAATATATAGTGGTGGATATTTCATTTGGGTCATGGAAAGGCCCAGAGTTGGCTGATTGGTCAAAAGAAGCCCAAATTACCGGTACTGGTAATTTAACAGATAACAGCCCGAACTGAATTTCGGAGGCTTATAAATTAAAGTTGAGGAATGTATATTCATTATACACGTCATAATGAGTAAGAGCACATAATATATTTTATTTGACCCGATAAAATAAAATATATTTAAAACAGTCCGAAAAATACAACTTTCGGGGCCGATTGTACATTTCGGGACAAGTTGGGATGACCTCCCACATGAGTGGGGGCCACACCACGTTTTTGGGTCTCAATTGGGACTTGTGTGGCCGCACAACATGTGAGGATGGAGCTAAGTTGATTGGAATGGGATCATTTGAGGTGTGGGCCTCACCCACACACATTATTTGTCAACTAAGACAAAGGACACTTCCTACCTCATTCCTCATCATTGTGCTCAACCAACCCCCTACAAGAAGAAGAAAATTGAGCTCTCAAAACACTCTCCATTGCTACAGCTCGAGCTCAAGCCATAGAGGCCCAAGGAGGAAGATTTGAGAAGGAAAAAGTTGGGAAAAGTGTGATTAATTAAGGTAATGACCTTATTATAACTTTTCCTTTAATTTTCTTCTACCATATGAGGTATATATCATATGAAGGATCCTTAGTATGGTTCCACGTGCTATAAGGGTGGATTTATGGGTTGGAAGATGGTTCTATGTCCAAGAACGGACTTAGGAGCCAAAACAACCGGTTCACCGGAAAATAACCTTTTTGAGGTTATTTGTATTAATATGGGTTTTATGATTATAAAACCTTGTTAGGAACTTGTAAAGGGTATTTCAAGTGATTTCACAAAGTTGGAAAAGTCGCCGGAGTTGACCAAAAGTCGCCGGAGTTTCACCGGGGTTCAACCAAGAAGGGTAGAACTTCATAACGCTAGTTTCAAGGTGAGTGGACGGCTTAATATCTTATAACTTTTGGGTTAATTATGAGATTACCTAAATAAATGTTATATGAGTTCATAATGATGTTTAAAAGATATTTAAACATGTGATTAGCCAATAGGGTTAAGATTGTATGAAAGAAATAAATTGTTTGTGCATGGAATATGACATGAAGAATTATATAAAATACATATTTGTTTGAAATGTATAAGATGCACCAATGAATATTATTAACTTAATTACATGATGATTAAGTTGATAAGTGTAAGACTTGAAATGGCGGTCAACGACAACGTTGACTGATGGACAATGGATTCATTAATATCAGTTGATATTAGTTAATTATACATTTATATAATTGCATGGCTTTGCATGGATTGTGATACATAAGCTTTATGTATTGAATTAGTTATGAGTAACTAAGTATGATATAGACTCTATCTAGGTTGATAGGAGGTTGATCATAGGAAAATATTTTGGTGGAGGACCCTAGTAATTAAAAGTACTTAACACTCAAAATTTGGTGGAGGACCCTAATACTTAAATGTACTTAACACTCAAAATTTGGTGGAGGACCCTAGTACTAAAAAGTACTTAACACTCAAAATTTGGTGGAGGACCCTAGTACTTAAAAGTACTTAACACTCAAAATTTGGTGGAGGACTCTAGTACTTAAAAGTACTTAACACTCAAAATTTGGTGGAGGACCCTAGGACTTAAAGTCCTTAACACTCGGATTATAAATTGGTGGAGGACCCTAGGACTTAAAGTCCTTAACACTCGGATTATAAATTGGTGGAGGACCCTAGGACTAAAAGTCCTTAACACTCATAGATTATGATATTGAAATAGGGACAAGGAGGAGTCCTATACACTCATAGGTATATGGGTGGGTTGGGGTTTTTAGTCAAGAATATTGACTATTACTATTTTTCCCAAATAAAACGGTGATCCACGGATCGGGTATTTTCCAAGTATATATATATATATATATATATATATATATATATATATATATATATATATATATATATATATATATATATATATATATATATATATACTAGCCTGGGATGCGCGCGTTGCGCGAAGGCTTATGCCCAATGATGGGTAATGAGCGTTGTGAGAGCAAAAATAAAAGGTACATAAATAAGAAGTTGGTCAAAACAGCAAGTGTTTGCATTAGCACAAAACAGAAACAAGTTGAGCATGAATCTCCAAGGATCAGTTACAACAACACACAAGTGCTCTAGATTGCACAGAGTTTGCAGCTGCCGGTTAGAGGGGCATTACATTTTAGGGGTGGTGCAAATGTTACTGAAGTAGTGCTGCAGAATCACCTGTGGCAGCAGTACGTATTTCATATGCATTTGTTTCTTTTGGAAGTTCCTCGATACCGCATTTTGAAATAACAAGTAGTAGTGCCCCACCGCAGCCATGTTTGACGAAGAAGAGAGTTGAGCTGCGCTTCAGTTCAAAAGTCATTTGAATTTTCTGCAGAAAGGGTTGTTCTCCAGTAGTAAAGCAAGCGTCGTCTTTGCCATAATAGATCCGCAAGCATTTTCTCAAGCCACTGCATGACCGCAAGAAACCTTCACACCATTCCTGTATTGAATGCAAAAAATAACACAGTGAGTGTGAGAAATGTAAGTGTCAGGTGAAGCAAGAGATTGTTTTTTATCGGTGGGAGAAATGGACATAAATTGCAGAAACAAGGCTGGGTTATTAACAGCGCGTGGTTTATTATGTAAGGTATCCTTTTGGTTGCACATTACCACTTGCATTTTTTCAAACATACAAAATGCGTTCTGTGTTTTTTCATATGCAGTGGCATGTTTAAATACCCTGTGAATTCTTTATGGTTGTTGCAATTTGTAATTACTAAGATGAAGTTTAAAGCAAGACAAACCTTAGATGTTTTTTTGGGGACATAGAGAAATGAGGGAGGATCATACAATATCCCGTATGAGTAATCTTCGAAAGAGGATTCAACGTACACAAGGAAGTCATCTGCGTAATAGTGAAAAGCAAATGAAATGTGTATGAAAGGCGGAGTTAGTAATAACACACAGTACATAGGTGGCATTTATGAGTTATAAGGCAAGAGAAGAAAGGTAGTTAGGCAACTTGTTTTAGAGCGGAAAAGAAAGTATATTGAATATACCAGGGGTATGCAGAGGGTTTGAACAACCAACAGGAGTTCCAGCGAGGTTTAGGGAGTAGCCTTGTTTGTCAAACATGTAAACTTCAAAAGTGAAATTGCCCACGTGGCGTAGGAGAGCATATGAGCCATATTCAATGTCATTTTCGATGAATAACTCCACAAATCCATCGGTGAAGCAGTAATTGTCAACTTTGACAGTCCATGATGTGGCTCCATACAAAAGGCGAGCATACTGGCTGGTATGCTCGAACAGGTGTCGTCGCATACATTCAGGAATTTCCTGCAAAAGAATGTCACGAATAAAATAATACAGAACGAATGGGAAGGGGTGTGGGTCGACAAGATTAACCAGGGATTGAAAATAGAAAGCGTACAGCGACTTCGATGTCAGGGATGTCCAGCTTAAACCAAACCACAGTGTATTGCATAACGTCAGGAAAATGAAATGGAGTACCTTTTGGGCACACTGAAAAACCAAAGTAATAATAACCAAAAGAGGAAGAATGAATTGTTGGGAAAATAAATATAATTCTAAAGTGGAAGGGATGGTGCATATAAGTTGAACAAACAAAGGTTCCAAAAAAACCTGTCAGAAGACCAAACAAGAACAAATAAACTGTTAAACAATAGACATACTGGGTGAAATGTACATAATTTAGAAAGTGACATTGGCACAAGATAAAGAAATAGTGTACACAAGGCATATAAGAACACCTGCAATCAAAGGCTTTGGTGTGCATGGACGCAGAAAGTGACTGAGTTTGTTCTCAATTTCATCCTTGGATCTGAAGTTTGTTGGAAGATATCTGTTACACCCTGAAGCACGCAAAAAGTGTTTCCAAACATTGCTTGTCTGACAAGAAGTTTCTTCTCCATTTGTTTGGGTGACGATAGCCACCATTAGCTTCCTCCCATGTATTGTGTTCACAAAATATGTGAGAGTATCGCTGTGAGGAGGCAACCTTGCCCTGACAACGGTGCAATTTCTGAACAAGTCCATAAACCTGTGAACAAATAACAACTCAACGGAAGTACAATAATGGTTGCATTTTGTTTAGCCGTGTTTTTTATGGAGGGATAATCACAGGGGGTGAGGGCATTTGGTTAAAAAATTAGGATTGTAAAATCCGAAATACATGGGTCGGGGAATGAAGCAGATTTGGGCCAACAGAGAGACAAGAGGTCATCAGTAGTGAAAACCAACGATTAACGAGGAGAATAGTATGCACAACTCACCCGGAAGCTGCGACGGAGATGTGCGGTTCTAAGCGGCGCTGGTTTTGTCGGGAGGAACTGCGGTGATTCTGGCCGGGCTGGAGCTTTGGTGGCCTGCGATCAGTGAGAAAGGCACCGTTGGGAGATAAAGCGGTGTATTGCAGCTGGCGCGGACCTATAAACTGCATTGGGCGGCACTCTGCGTTGGACAATTAATAGATACAATACAGACATGTGGGCACGTGTTTTTTCGCATCTGTTTTAGAAGTTGTTCTCTTCACCTGATTTGAATGTTATGATTTGAATTTTTTAAGTCATGATCTGTTCTGATCTGATTTTTTCTGATCTGATCTTATCTGATCTAAATCTGTTTGATCTGATCTGAATGTCCTTGATCTGATTTGAATGTTCCTGATCTGATTTGAATGCTTCTGATCTGATCTGAATTTTTTTGATCTAATCTGATTTGAATATTTCTAAAATTGTAATTGTAATTATAATTATTATAGTTATAAATGTAATTACACATATATAATTTAAATATACTGATGATCACAATTGTAATTATGAATATTATAAGTGTAATTATAACGATAATAATAGTAGGTATAAGTATTATTATACGTATTATACTAGTTATAAATATAGTTATACTTGTAATTGTAATTATATTTATGGTTATATTTATTTCTATAATTATAATTTTAATTATAATTTTACTATTTATTTCTATAATTGTAATTACTTTGTATAATATGATAATAAGGAAAACAAAACTAATAATTATAACAATAGCGATCATAATACTGGTAACAATAATAATAATAATCATGATAATAATAAATAGCATAGTAATAATAATCATTATTGTAATCATAGCAATTGCACTAATAATAATAGTAATAATAGTAACAGTAATAGCAATAATAATAATAGTAATAAGAATAAATAAATAATAATAAAAATAATAGTAACAATAATATCAATAATAATAGTAATTATAATAATTGCAATTAAAAACAACAAAAAAGAGTAATAGTAATAATAATAATAATAATAATAATAATAATAATAATAATAATAATAATAATAATAATAATAATAATAATAATAATAATAATAATGTTAAAGTAATTATAGTAAGAGTATAATTTAGTGTTTAAAAGTAATAAGAGATTGTTCTAAATTAAAGTAAAAACAAATTGTTAATTTCATGTGTCAAGTAGGTTTATGTTATTATTATCAAATCATGTTTGGACTTTTATGATATAATCTCAATGCCCTTGATTTGATTTGAATATTTTTGATCTGATTTGAATCTTTCTAGTTTAATTTGAATTTTTCAAGTGGTTTCATTTGTCATTTTAGGTGTGCTTTATTTTGTTAAAGGTACTGTTACTTTTTTTTTACTGATGAAGTTGTAAAAAAAAATAACGTATTTAAGAAGTTAATTTGTTTGCAAAAATAATAATAGTGCATTAAAAAAAATATTATACGCCGTTTGTTTTCTATATTTTTATTTGTAGTTGCAATTGTATCTTTTACATACAAAGTTGGCAAACTATGAAAGGTTGCAAGGACATAATAAAAGTTGCCATTTTTTAGAAATGCTATAACATGCGTTCATTTGAGCAGAGACATTTGCTTACAAGAGAAAGAAAGTTTGGATAAGATTTTGTTATTTACATGAATGTGCATAAACACGATGGTGATGAGATATATCGCAAGGGCATATCATTGTGAGTTTGTGTGTGCATATGATGCCGAAGGAGCCACATGAGCAAGAAAAGAAGAACCTTCGATAAAAGGATTTTAGATTCGGTAACAGTGAGTATGATGTAGGTAAACAGCAAAAAAGAGTAGTCTGCAGTGGAAGAGTTGTTTGGTGACAGTTAGTCAGCGATACCTGTGCGATTCCTCTGGCGAGTGGGTCGAGGTGGGGCATCTTTGTTTGCTTCATCAGCCAAAGCACGTTTGGTACGGGCAGACGGAGGTGGATTCATAATGTTGGATAATGGTGTTGAAATTTAGTGTTATGTTTCAGGTAGCGGCTGTATCTGTTTTAGGGGCCACCAGGGCAGTATGAATTGATGGGGTAGGTTTGGCGTGGCATTGACTTGGGCAGTGGGTGTGCTTGAAGAATGCTGTCAAATCTAGAAGACGTCAATCAATGATGACAATATGTGAACCCATGACAGACGTAATTGCAGTCTCATATTTAAACAAGGATAGTAACAGATATTTGTTTCCAAGTATAATATTGAAGAAATAAAGTTACGGTATCAGTGGATGTATCATTGCTGTAGGGGTCTTCAAAAAATTGAAATTGAATTTGCAGGGGTCATCTTAACAGTGAATGTTGAGTAAGTTAGCAAATTGAACGAACAATGGTGGCGAAATTCAGGAGGTAAGAGTCCAAAGCAAAAAAAGAGATTGTAAAGTGTTTGCAGGTATGAACAAATACATGCACATTATACATGTTATTGAGTGGAAGCACTAAAAAGTGAAAGAAGGGGCTACATGTTGGAGAGTTCATGTTTAAGCATCATTAATAAGAAAGGGTATACATGTGTGGTTGGAAGTCAACTAAAGTGCAACAGAGGGTTAAAAAATATTTGTATTATGGTGTGAGATAAGGTGTGAGCTACATGAGAATAACAATGCTTTATTATTATGTATAGTAACATGAAATAATAAGTGAAGGGGTATGTAAATTATTAATTTCACATAGAACAAAGAACTCAAAGTATACCTGCATTTGCACGCGTGCAAGTACACTGTAGAGAGTTTGGCTAAAAAAAAGGTGAACTACATACATATTTGGAATAATAAAAACAACGTAGGTTATATACATTCCCACAATGCGGAAGCAAAGGGGGTTCACCGTTTACAATATGCTCTGCATACTAATTTACAAACAAAAAACAGTTGACACTGTAGGTCAACAGGCGCAGACATATGGATAACCAGTAGAAAGTAAAGGGATAACATCGTGATCGCTTTCTACCAAATATATGTGATGATTGTAGGGGGAACAGGGGATCAAAATAACGTGGGGAGCGCATCATCACATTGTCATAACTTAATTACATGATTGGAGGGTGGATCCTGGTGATAAGCAAAAAAAAAGTCAAACATCATGTGATCAAGCAGCGTTGGGCTTAGTCTTTTTGGAACGTGTGGCTGCAAGTGGTTCATTTGGAGTTATGCCCTTGCCCATGATGGGTTTAGCGGCCGAGGAAGGTTGTGCGTCAGACGAATCAGTGATGGACTTAAAGGTCAGCTTTCTCTTTGAAGTGGAACATGGTTCAGTAGGTGTTTCCGGTGGGGTAGGTTCATTAATTGGGGAGGCAACTGGGGTTATGTGTACTTTGGAAACGCACACGATGGTGTAGGGATTGCCCAGCAGTCCATCTTCATTGGCCTTGGTCCGCTTCACCCCACAAACAACAGTTAAAGGTTGCAGTTTTGCATCAAACGTGGCTAGATTCATGTCACTTTTGGAATCAATGTTGACAAACTCCAAAAGGCGCACCACATCACTGGTGAAGAGTGTGACAAGGATATTGCTCGCAGCATTGTGCAACGAAGCGGTGAGGCGGAACCTAGTAGGGGTAAAAATGTTAGGGGCAGTAGCTCATAAAATGAAATGAACTACATGAGCATGGATGACATACCTTTTAACAGTAGTGCCATTCTTTTGGCCGCAGAATAAACACTGAAACTCAATACCTTCTGGCCCATGGACTTTGCGGTTGCAGTAGTCACACCCAACGTAGGAGCCTTCTTCTGAAGTATCTGCCAAATGGAACTTCCCAGACACCCAGACAACAGGAGTCTTGTAGTGGGGAAAAACAAAATCAATGATGAGGGAAGTGCGATAACAAGGCAAGAGTAGATATTGTTTTTTTTAATCGTACCTCATTCAGTGCAGTGTCCAAACCTTCGAGTTCCGTCAATGGCTGCGAAAGAGGTTTAGCAATCACTGTAAGGGCATTTTCATATTGTCTAGCTTGCAGCATTGCGTTGATCTTGTCTTTGTTTTCAGCAACCCTGTCAGGGTATATAAACATGGAAAAATATGAAAACTGGAGAAGTTTTGTTTTGGTGTAGGAATGAGTGACTGGGTGACAAAGTAATGTGTGCGTACATTTGTTTCAACTGCAATGCTTGCGCCCCTTCAGGGTTCAACTGAATATGACAGTCAAAGCGAGTTGAGAGGTTCAAACCTGTGAAATAGTAATTCAATACAATGAATGCATGAATGAAAGTAGGGTGTACAGGATGAGAGGCACAAATATTGTAGAAATTTAAGCATGTAATTGAGAAGGTGGTTCAACCCTGAAAGAGAGTGATAACAGCCCTGTTAATAAGAACAAGTGGTGACTCGCCAGAGTCAAGAGACCTATCAATTTCACAACCGTGTCTGGTGATGAATTCTTCCCAC